TTGGGGGGGGCAGCGTTTGTAGAGCTGCCCCCTCAGTGAGAAGGTTGCATGTTGTCTCTGAGTGTGTTTACCAGTTTCCTCCCACACACCAAGAACATGCGTGTTGGGCTGAAACTAACTTGTCCCTCGGTGTGAGTGAGGGTGGTTGTCTCCAAGTGTCCCCTGTGGTGGACTGGAGACCTGTCCTGGGTGTCCAACTGTCACAGTGACCCCCATGAGCTGGAACACGAAGCGTAAAGATGATGGATGTCATAGTGGAAGCGTTGTGTTTTAGTGGCTCGCTGGTGCTGGTACATGCAGGGGGGTTGCTCCACATGGTGGTAATTTATTCAAATCAGAACCAGTTTCGTGAACCATGAGCAGGTGCTTGAAGCTGCTTCGTGTAATTTAAAGAGTGCTTTAAAAGCTGTGAAAGTTTCCCTGCATGCTCTCAGATGCAGCAGCGCTGTCCTCCTCAGTGCTCTATTAAAGTCCAGCTTCAGCAGCATGGACCGTCCCGAGCCTGGACGCTCCCGTCCCACCACCAGCATCCAGCTCAGCGGCGCCCCCTCCTTTCCTCGCGCCCCCAAGGGCTTCGCGAGCGCGCTCACGTGCGGACCTGCGTGGGAATGGCTGTTCGTGCGATCGAAGGGGCTGGGCCGCTCGGAGCGAGCGGTGAGCTGCACGAGTTTGAAATGTCCGCCATGTTGGCCATGGCGCGTTGAACCGGGAACAGCAGCGGAGCGTAGGAGCGACCGAGACCGATAGAGAGCGACCGAGACCCGGGCCCACCCGGCTCTGTTCGCGCTGCCACGGACCGAGCCTGCCCTCAGACGACCGGCTCACCGAGACCACAGCGTCCTCCATGAGAACTCGAAGCAGACCTGCTGTTAATCCGAGCACATCCAACAGATTTATGCTGCGTCCTTCATTATAAACATGAGTAAACTGTCGTTTCGGGCGCGGGCGCTGGATGCTTGTAAGCCCCTGCCCGTTTTCCGCTGCGAGGATCTGCCCGACCTGCACGAGTATGCCTCCATCAACCGGGCAGTGCCGCAGATGCCGACTGGGATGGAAAAAGAGGAGGAATCGGTATGTAATTTCATGGCCGCTCGTGCTCACGGATTATTTTCACAGTGAATTCATGCCGAGGGGCGCCACTGCTGCCTGCGCAAGCTCGTGCAAAATGGCCGCCATGTCTTGTTTCGCGCACTCGACGTATCTCGATGAATACGGAGTTTAGCTTCATTGTGCCGCCGCTGTTGGTGTTGTGAGCGCGTTGTGCTGTGAAATCGTGTCAGTAAGCCGAGTTTGGACCATTTATTGTCAATTAAACGGTGTCCGAACGCACAAAGAAGTCACGTGACTTGCATCGGCGCCACCATTTTGTTGACTGTGTGCGGAAGGCGGGGGAAGGCCTCGAACGTGCTGCACGTTCTTGCAGTGGCCGCCAGAGGGCGCCGCTGAGCCTCCTGCTCGCTCTGACAGCTGCGTGCGCGTGTTGACAGTTCGCAGCAGAGCCATGTGTGCATGTGGTTTGGATGCAGACAGGAAGTCTCGGATTAAACCGTCAGTTTAGCTTCATGCGTGACGTCATAGCATTACACCGGATTCAGTCATCGCGTGCATGAGCTCATCGACTGTACTTGTATTATCCATATATACTATAAATGCAAACGGTGGTAAAATGAGCATATGAACATGTTGCTGCACTCGGAGTTTTTATTAAAGTTAAATTTTAGCTCTTTTTTTAAATTGATCCTCAATAATTCTCTGCATTTTTCACATTGCACATGTGAAGCAGGGGCAGCCATATAAGGCAGTTGGGGGTTTAAGGAACTTGCTCAAGGGCCCAGCATGGAGGCAGGTGTGGGTGTTGCACCTTTTTCACCCACATTTTGATGTCGGTCCGGGGAGTTGATCGCGACCCTCCGATCACAGGCACGCACCTCTAACCGCTGCGCCACTATCCCTGCTCCCTTCACCACTTTTTTTCCGTTCAACCTTTATTTACACAAGTTGGTCTCAGTGAGTCCCGGGGCTCTTATTATTTATTATTACTATTTATTAACCTGT